TAGAAATATATCATCTATGTTTCTATTTATCTGTCTAATTTAAATAATTTTTTTGTCCAAAAAAGTAGAATTTTTTTTATTTATCTATCTCATTTTTAAAAGTCCAAGGAGAGATTAATTATATTTTTCTACTTTTACCTGTGATAGACTTTAATTAGTATCTAGGCCTGGTTCGTTACAAGGCTTGTTAAGCCTACGAGCCTATTTAAAAGCCTACGTGTAATGAAGGCCAATAAAAAGGCTTAAAGCCTATTTATATTCTTGGCTAATAGGCTAGAGACCGAAAGGCCTATTTCCAGCCTTATAAATTCCCTATTTGTTCCAACTTCCAACAATTATTGTACAGTTTCTTAGCAGAAAAAATATGAGATTTAATTTCTGAATTTCATCAAATTACCCTGAAAATGACCAGATTAAAAACAAGAATAGAGTGAATAGAAGAAACACCTCCATTGCTCTCAAATGGAGAAGACATTTGGAAGACCTATTTCATTACAAATTAAAAAGGCCCAACTAAGCTATGCATTAAAAGATAAAACAGATTTTTGTAAATACAGAGCAAATAATTTTAAAAGGATGTGAAAATTTTAGATGAATACAGAGCAAATGATTTAAATCCTCTTTTCCATTAAAAACTCCTACTTAGATTTGTATAATGTACACTCAACTAATTATGCATTCATTACACCAGCAATAGATCCTTCCCAAAGACTACCAGGAGTTTCTGATTGTCTAACCACACCTCCATGGAAAACTGAAGCAAACTTCGATGACTCAGGTATCAGAAACCAAAGGAGGCAAGATTTAGATCAGCAAGTTGAGGATGTAGACAGCTAAGTTAATGACATCCATTAGAATAATGGAACAAGCCAAAGGATCTTGTCTTTCCCTCACTCAATTAAAAAAGAGTATTATGTATATATATATATCCAACATCTGTGTATCTTTTGTGCGATATATCATACTTAAATCATTTGTGCAGATCAATTATTCATCATTGCTGTCTCATAACTATATTTTTTCTGAATTCCAAGAACCTACGTGACAATTTATGTGTGAAATACTATGATAGTTTACCAGTGCATGTGCTAACCCATCCAGCCACAGTATTAAGGGAAGGGAAAAGAGTTAACATTTGAAGTATCTGTTTCAGGGGAAAAAGAAAAAGAAAGTATCTGTTGCATTTAAAGATTTAGCTTTCATTATCCTTGTGCATTTTACTCAATTTTAAGCCCTTAAGCTTTCTACAGTTCTTCCTCATTTCCTAGTAACTATCTTTTTGCAAAAGCCAACCAACCAAAAGAGATACTTGTTACTGCTCCATTAAAAAGCTCTGCAAACCTAGCTTAGAGGTTGAAAGGATTTCCACAAAGAAGCCCGTGTTTTTAACATGTCCTATCAAACATTTCCTTTCGGCGACTCACTGGTTCCTTTTATCTTTCACTTGATATCAATTCCTATCAAATATTAACAATTACAACAGAGAAGGAAATAGATGTTACCGGTTAAATTGAACAAAATAGAAGCGGTCACGGAGACAAAGAGATGATCGAACCAGGCGACGGCCTACGGAGGCAGAGAAGGGGCGGAGCGAGGCCACGGGAAAGGAAGCAGAGCCGCAGAGCGTGAGAGACTGAGGTGAGAACTGAGAAGTATCAGATAGTTTAGATTTAGGGTAAAAAAATAAACTAAAAGTGTTTAGTAACATCATAGGACCATTACACAATGATTTGTTTATCCTTCTTTTTCACTTTTTAAGTTCACAGTTTGTTGAGAACAATATTATTCCTTTGTTGGCCTGGTAGCCATTGTAATATGGCCTCCTCAGAATGTAGCATCTGTATATTGAAGGATTTAAGACTGAATTTTGGCTATTGTAGATTTGGAATTGCTTGCTTTGTTAGTTTTTTCCCCTTTTAATTTCATAATATAACTTAAGTTAGGCAATATCATGTGAGCTAGAATATAGATAATTGAGTTCCTGGTTGTATATCTATTAGTCTCATTTCCTTTCCCTTCTGAATATAGGTGCGACCAATAAGCCACAAGAATTGGATGATGCAGTTCTTAGGAGACTGGTATGAATTTCTTCAGTGTTGATTGTTCTACCATGAGTAGTTGATAAATAATGTGATTCTTGCCATACTGTCTTGAGTAATGGTTTAAAAATGGTCATATGAAAAGAGAAAACATATGGTTGATAATATTATGTTTTAGGTTCCACTTTTTCACAACACAATTTTCTATGTTGCATTTATACCATTTTTTATTGTAACATATCTGTTAATCTTTTATTAGTAAGCCATAAACTTCTCTTCTGATAATCACTAGTCCTCTTTAATGTGCCTTGACAAATAGCTTAGACTCCTAGCAATTGTTTTATATGGAGTTCCTAATTGGCATGGCAACATGGCATCCGTTTACTTCTTTCCCCATGGCTCATGTTCTCTTTACCATTCCTTCTAAAACTTTTCTGAATTGTTTGTAGAGAAACTTAAGTTCTCAACAAAAAAAGAAACAAGAAGAAAGAAAAAGAAAACAGCAAAAGACTTGATTTCATTTTGTAAGAGATATGCCATTTGTTCCCCATTAAATCTATGCATAATTGTGTGTCATGGATAATAGTTATAATGAGCTTGGAACACACACTACTAACTCTATTCTTGGATATACTGTGAAATGTTTACTAGGTAAAAAAAAAATATACATACCTCTACCAGATGAAAATGTTCGGAAACTTCTGCTAAAAAACAAACTCAAGGGTCAAGCATTCTCCTTACCTAGTAAGCAACGTGCTTCCTTTTATTCCCCTGATACTTCTCCTTTTTATGTGTTTTCTTTGGTGCTGCCATGTGTGTTTTCTGGTTATATACTCTTCTAGCGAATTCTGGTTTCTACGGTGGCTGGCTCGTACCTTCTTGTTTATTCTGGTTGTGTAAAAACTTACTGCTGAATTTGCAGAAATTAGTTTATTTGTTATTTGAATCCATACAAGATACTTCAAATCAGAGGGACCAAACATGCAAAAAAATTATTAATTGAGAGTTTTTATTTTGAATTTTCTTATGCATGCTTTTACTTTCTTTGTTGATATCCTTCATAAAATAAAGGTCAAGTGTTTTTTTATTGTATTATTATATTACACAAACTGCTCTATTCTGCTTGTTTCTAGTTTGAGTCATGAAGAGAAAGAAATTAGAATGTAGAGATACTCTTTTCTTTTTGTTTCTTTTTTTTAAAAAAAATTATCATTATTCTTTTTTCTTGATTTGCAGGATATTCTGGAAGTGATCTGCAAGCCTTGTGTGAAGAAGCTGCAATGATGCCAATTAGAGAGCTGGGTTCTAACATTCTCACTGTTAAGGCAAATCAGGCATGCTAGTTTGAAATTGCTAAATTTACAATGTGGATTAGTATTAATCTTGTGAGTGAAAACCTTCCTTTGTTGTTAAAAGTTAAATATTTTCGGTTTACCAGGTAAAGAGGACTGAGGTATGAGGATTTCAAGAAAGCAATGGCTACCATCAGACCAAGCTTAAACAGAAATAAGTGGGAAGAGCTTGAGCGCTGGATGAGGAGTTTGGCTCTAATTGAAGTCTTATTCAAAACATGCTCTATGATGCATGCATGTGCTTAAAATTCACATTAACCTAAATAGAGCAAGACATAGGCATCAAGGTTAGTGGCTCAGATAATGAATCAGCAGCAGCTAATTTTGTTAATTGCTATGCTGAAATTCTACTCCAGCCTCTAGCCATGAAGCCTTTGTTTTGAACTTGACCTTCTGTACATTACAGCCTTGAAGGAATAGCTGCCATTACCTTTTTTTTTAACTCATTCTTTGTATATCTTTGTAATGTTACTATTTTTAAATGCTTTTCAAGTGATTGTAAGTCCCTTCCAAAGAAAAGAGAGACAGACAGAATAGGTATCAAGATTGATAAAATTTCAACTCTAGTTGAACCAGTGTAATGCATTTATTATTTAACTTAGACAGTGAATATTGGATATGATTTATGACTTTATGATATCAAGTCTATCTTATACTTCAATAACCATAAATACTCATCCTATATAGGAATATTATTTTTTCATAATTATTTAATTTTATTTAATAAATACAAGAATTAAGCTGATACTTATATTCAACCGATTTATTTACAGTAGTAACGAAGATAGAGATTTTTCCACAAATATAATCTGGTTTACGGGAAGGAATTAAGAAATGAGATGCCTACCTAAGTTATTTAGACTTTAGGATGTAATGATTAATTTATCATGGTTTTGTTTTGGTTAGGAAAATATGAAACTTTTATTAAAGATGTCTCCAGATTTGATCCATTCTTTCAGTTTCTCCATTTCCCATACCGAAACGTAGAATTTCTTCTTTCAGTAATATGAGACAGGAAGAGAATATCATATTTAAGATGAATTTGGTTTCCCTTTAAAATTAGGAGGAAAATTTAATGATGAAGTTTATAAAATTGTATAAAAGAAAATATATATCACTGACATTTTCTCCTTCAATTATTCGGATATATTAAACTGATTTTAAGAAAAATATAAACAAATTCTAAAAGAATATAATGCCAAACTCGCAATTTCATAACAATAGGGGAAATCCTGCTTTTGAGTTTTGAATCTGTACACCCAGTTTTCATAGTGCCTGTTTGTATTAAAGTTTGCAAACATAAGTTTTAAACCAACATGGAGTTGGATTGATTTAAATGTGGATTCAAAATGAAAATTATACTCAAACGGAAAACCAACATACTCAAAAATTCAAAACCAAACATACTCAAAAAGGCCATTTTATGTTTGCAAACGTACATACATCTGATATTACAAATTGTAATCCAAGCATACACAGTCAATTAGGTTTCTCGTTTCTTAAAGGCTTCATTTCATAAAAAATCTACATTGGTTAATTATGATTGTAAACTTCAATTAACATGACCCATGAATTCATAATAATGAAATAGGGAGAAAAAATTTAGTAACGTCGGAAGTGGGATTTGAACACACCCTCTCACGTGGACCAGTCACGTGGACCAGAACTTGAGTCTGGCGCCTTAGACCATTCGGCCATCCTGACAAGCTGATGCTATTTGCTTTTAATTTAATAATGTATTACTATAAATATGTTTTATGCTTTACTTATCAAACATATATAATCGTGAAAAGATAACACACATTCATTCTTCATACTAATGTAGATGATGTTGTCTATACCAAACAAAGCACGCATCATATGTCGAATTTCTAGTGAATGATCAAGCACGTCTCAACAGTCAACCAACCGGATTAGAGAATAAAATGTAATTTTATAGCACGCATATTGTACAGATTTTTTTTTTTTTTGTTAATTTTGTCCAAAATGTCTAATTTTATTGATTTATTCTTACTCAATCATGAAAATACAAAATAATTCATCATTCATTCTTATTAATATTACACTAGAAAACATACCATGCTCATTAATAATTTTACTTGAAATATTTTCCAAACCAAACTCAAGACTTGCCTATCCTACTGCATTTGGTATATGATGAGTCATGAGACCAACTCTATTGAAGCAACTTACTCAATACTCAAGTTGTTTAACTTTATTTTAAATATTTTTAGGCAGGTCTTACATATATACATTATTTCATTTTACTTTTTGTAATTTAAACAGCCCTTCACTTCAATGGAATAACTCTTAATTGGATGCCACAAACTACTTCAACTTTCATCATTTCTAAATTTTATTTCAATGTAAATAATACTACTCCGAACTTGAATATAAGCAAAAATAACTAAATTCACCACATATTAAGAAAATTAGTTAAACGCATTAAATTTCTTGATACCATGTAAAAGTACTAGCATTGCCAAAATTACCCCTACATTCAATTTTATTGAAAATTATTTCAAATGGACATACTCTCTTTCTATTGGCATATGATTCATTAAATAGAATGGTTGGGAAGCAAAATATGAATTAAATAAAGGACATTTTGGGGTTTATCTCATTAAATATGGTAAAATTAATTAAGATTTGCTTATATTTTAGTCCACCAATGTGAATTTTTTTTATTTATTTCAAGTCTGGAGAGAGTATTATTTAGTCCCACAATTATCATGAGATAAGCAACTTGATCCTTAAATTAAGTAACTTACTTCCATGTCATCTCCCTCCCTCCAATGGAGAGTGGGGTTCATAATTGAGTTATTAAGTTTAAGAACTTGTAAAGCAATACTTATATATTGTCTTTAGACAATCGATCAAAAGTTTAAATAATATAAATGTACCCAAAAAGGCACAGAATATATTTAAATAATAGTAATAATAAAGACATCAAAAACTTAAACTTAAGGTCTCAGTATTTGGTGTTTTTAAAAAATTCAACCCAATTTTTACAACTGAAAACTAAAAACTAAGGGCCCGTTTGAAGTGGTTTTCAGTTTCCAATTTTGAAAATTTTAAAAACCAAAACCAGTTTTCAATTTCAAAAATTTTAAAACTAAAAAACAGTTTTCAGTTTCAGTTTTATGGTTTCCAGTTTCATTTTTTTAATATCGATTTTTCAGTTCTATGCATTACAGGAATAATTCTCCCCCCTCTCTCTCTCCTTCGTTTCTCTCTCCTCTCTCCTTTGTTTCTCTCCACTATTTCTCTCTCCCCTCCTCCCTCGGTTTCTCTCTCCTCTGCTTCTCTATTGTCCCTCTCTCCTTTGTTTCTATCCTATTTTCTCTCCTCTATTTCTCTATTGTTTCTCTCTCCCTCTCTCCTCGTTTTCTCTCCCCTCTCCTTTGTCTCTCTACTGTTTATCTACAGAGGAGAGAGAGGAGGGAGGAGAGAGAAAAAGAGGAGGGAGAGAGAGAGAAGAAAGAAACACGAGAGAAAAGAGGAGAGAAGCGAGAGGAGAATATAGGAGAGATGAGAGAGAAATAGAGAGAGGAGAGAGGAGTGAGAAACAAAGAAAGAAACAGAGGAGAGAGGAGAGAGAAACAGAGGAGAGAGGAGAGAGAAACAGAGGAGAGAGAGAGAGGAGAGAAACAGAGAGGGGGGAGAGAGAAATAGTAGAGACAGAGGAGAGAGGAGAGAGAAACGGAAGAAACAAAGGAGGGAGGAGAGAGAAACAGGAGGGAGCATGAGAGAGAAATAGAGAGACGGAGTGAGAAACGGAGGAGAGAGGAAAGAGAAAACAGAGGAGGGGGGAGAGAGAAACAGGAGAGAAGAAAATGAAACAGATGACAAAAAAAACATAAAACTTTTTTTTTGTGTTTTGAAAAGTAAGGGAATTGGTTTTGAAACTTGTGTAAAAACATTTTAATCCCATTTTATCCAAACACGTTTTGTTTCAAATTTGGATTTCGAAATCAAAAACCGAAAACTAGCACCACCCCAAACGACACTTAAGGAGCCGTTCGGGGTGATTGCGAGTTTTCAATTTTTATTTTTAAAAATTTTCAATCAAGTTTTTACGATTCAACCAAAAATTGAAAACCATTTTTTGTGGTTTTCAAAATAATCATTTTGAAAACCACACAGTGATTTTCAATTTTTAATTTTGAGTTGTAAAAACTTATTTAAAAATTTTTAAAAACCAAAAATTGAAAACTCGCAACCACCCGAACGGCCCCTAAAGAACCACTTTTTTGTAGCTTTCAGAACGTTTATTTTAATATCAAAGGGCCCCTAAGTTATTTTATATCTTAAATGTTCATTGGTTGTATCTATGGATACTATTCATATAACAAAAATTCTATGATAAGAATGAATCAATATTCTCGTAGTAGTATTCTTAAGGAAAAGGAGAATCCATTATTAATCAATCCATTTGCCATCATCATTAGGTTATTAAATACATCAAATATAAACCAAGCAGAAGGATATAAAAAGAGAATTGAAGCTCTATGAAAGAAGACTATATATCATAAGAGTTTAATAGAACTTGATTTTCCATAAGTTTATAAAATCAAAATACATATACAAAGAGATTCAAAAGGTAAATTGTTCCCAAAAGCTCATAGGTACATAACACAAACCAAAAGTGAACCCAAATGAAACTTTGTGCAACATTACCAAACCAAAAGTTGCTTTAAAATTAGATTTTTGTCATTGAAAACCAGAAGATATTTGCTTTCCATTTGAACTATGCAATAACAATAGTACCTATATGCTTTTTTTTCGAAGCATTTCTATGCAGCAAAACAGAACCAATGAGCTTGTTTTAAATTAGCTATTATGGAATGAAACATAACTACTGGTTTGGGCTAAAACTCATATTTTTTAGCAATATAAACATAACTGATTTTATGATAATACAAATAATAATTAAGCAACTAAAGCATGTGACTCCAAGTGAGTGAAAACAATATTTTGCTCTTCAGTCATGATTGTGGATCAATGATAAGTACCATGTAATCAAAAGGGCTTGAGTGCTTGACCAAAAAAGAAAGGACGCAAGTTAAGGAAAACAACAGAAAAAGGGGAAATTGTTAATGATTTGGTTTGGGGAATTTTTGAGCTAGATCTGTTTCACATGACAGAGAAAAACATTGAAGAAGCAAAAAAATGGAAATGATAAAAGCTCCATTGAGAGCAAAAAGAGGGAAAGACTGAAAAAGTTGAAAACTTGGAGACTTGGGGGTGAGGGAATAAAATAGAAACCAACTACATTCAACACATTACAGAAAGGAGAAAAATACCTGAACCATTGAAACAAACACGATGACTTATCTGATCTGGCCTCTCCTTGCTTGCCCATCCACCACCTGTGTTGAATAAAAATAACCAAAAAACAATCAAAATTAGTTGAATAAATATTTACTATTAAAAAACCCTAAAATGAGAAAAATCACAAACCTTCCTTTCACCCACTAGAGTAAAACACAGATTTGAACTCTCTAAGCTGGGACTAATGTTGTGAAAGATGAGCGGTGACAAGGGGAGAAATGGGACAAGAAGCGAACAAAGGAAAGTAACAATGAAGGAAGGAATATGATTGAACCAAAGAAAGAAGACGTCAGAAGAAGGAACAACGACGGTGGACAGCGCAACAACTGTTGATGGACGACGGCGACGCTCACGCTAGGGTTTTAGTTTGGGAGGAGGAAGAGAGAAGTTGAATTTGTGAAGAGTGAGTGAAGTGATAAACTGACTAACCCTGACCCTAAATCTAATCTAAATCTAAATCTAAAACTTTACAGACCTCTAACATAGAGGTTGTTTTTTCACTGTTTCATGGTTTGGGCACTAATATAGAAGCAATGTTTGTATTAAAAAATTAATTATTTTTTTCTTAGATTTCCAAATTTGTGGCCATCTCGTGCTAGCTGATTGAGTTTCTGCTCCACCAAAACGACTTCAAGAACGGTAAGGCTTTTCTTTTTACTTCGCATAATTTAAAAAGTTTACTTTTAAAATTATTGAAATTGTTATTGAAAAAGTTACTGTTACTAGAAAAATGGTGCAATAGTTCTGTACAAATAGTTACTATATGTTTTCCATCTCAATATGATTACATAAGATTTTTATTTGTCTAAATTTTGCATCTATTTTGGGCAGGTTTATTTCTAGATTTGAGGATAATAAAAAAAACTTCATAAAGAAAATGTGTTTGAAGTGAATTTGTTAATGGATTACTGAGATAACCGATGAATTGATACTTTTTTAGGATTCTGAATAGTAATGTAGTTCTAAAAAAGGAAAAAAAAATCTATAACTTTGGTCACTTATAGTTAACTATAGTCTCCTATAGTTACAAGGTGTTGGCAGTCATTTAAAATTTTCTACTAGGCCGAAGAAAACATATAAAGTTACCTTATTGAGCTTTGATATATGGACAATCTTTAATTGATACTACCACTATATTCTAGGACTAAAATTTAGGATTCAAATTCAAGTATATGGAAGTGAAATGGTTATTGAGGGTGTGTTTGGCAAAACTATCTGATAAGCTCCTAACTTATAAGCTCCGAGCTTTGAATTATAAGTGTTTGGTACAATTAGCTGATAAGTGTAACATCCCACGAATTATGAGCTTAAATAGTTATTAGGTCACAAACAGGAAAATTAAGTATTAGTATGTATAGGGAGGAAAACTA